CTCATTTGAACTTCTCCATTTACTTTCTCATTTGCCTTTACGATCTTGCATTATAATTAATTATAAGTATAGTCTATTTTTTTAAGATTAATTATGCGAAAAAATTTAAATTCAAAATCATTTAACTCTTCAATTAGCATTGGTACAACCTTAATATTTTTTTTAAGGGGACCAACCGGTGGTTTTACCAAGTTGATTCACCTTTTTAAGAGCTAAAAAAAGTCACAGAGAAATTTCAGCATTTTCCTTGCCATCATCATGTGAAACATAATTCAACTATTTTTTAAAACAACTGTTAATTTACAAAACACATTTGGTTTATAACAAAATTAAAATTGAAAGTGAATGTAAGACCTCTTATTTGCACAAGTACATAAACATTAGTATATCTTAAAGCTTTTTAATCTACGATAGCGTTAATAAATTAGACAATTCAACTGATTTTCCCTCCAACCAATCTCTCGTTCGGCACGTCGTTAATAATAACCCCCCATCACTTAAACCCCACTCACACTTTTTTTTTTCCTTTTCTTTTTTTTTTGGGGTCAAAAAAACCCCACCCACACTGAAAACCAAAAAGGTTCTCTCTTTCCCGTTTCCACTGCAAAGCTTTACTCACCGAGTGGACCCAGCTGTACCGACCGAGTCACAACTCGGTCCCCCACCACCACCAGCTAAAAAGAATGTTTGGTTTTTCCATCATGGGCCTGCCCAAAATCTCCTCTTTAAAGCCTTCGTCTTGCTGCGAAGAACTGCGCTTCAACAATTTCGAAGCTTTCCGCAATGGCCGCCGAAGCGGTTCCGGGTACTCCCCGCATAAACGAAATGAGGCCCGAAATCGGGACGGAGTTCCGTTTTAACAACGGTTCGGGTCATGGACATGGAGCTCCCGGGTCCCCATGTCCTCCGGGGATAAGGAGGGTGGGTTTAAGGGCAGTGATTGATACGTCCCCGCCTTTCGGGTCGGTCGAGGAGGCTGTGACCCGTTTTGGCGGGAGGGGGTCTTGGATACCATTCTACAAGCTCGGAGAAAACTGTGTAAGTCTACCTTCTTGGCTTCTTATATTTAAATTCTGGTTACATTGATACACTATGAAATGCAGAGATTCTCGGTGCAGGACGTTGTTCGCATATTTTGTATTGATAATCTCGGTATTAGTATAATAACATAGACAATGTATGTCGAACATTTTTTGTAGTGACATGTAGTTTACCAAAATTGCACCATACTGACCGTTCATCATTTAATATTAGTAAAGAACGCACGTCTTGTCCAGAGAACAACTAACGAGATCTATGTACTCTGTACATTATAGTACATATTTTTTCATATCCTACTTAGTTATGATAATTTCTGCTTCTCTCGATCATGTTTGCTTCTTGAATTATTAAGCATTTCAAAAGTTTTTCGGGTGTTTAGGTGATTTTAATTCATATCTACAATAACATTGTGATAAGCAGAATGGGGTTGAGGAATTTGACCTGAAGAAAGTGGAGGAGCAGGCAGCTGAGTTGGAGAAGGATCTGATTGTGAAAGAACTGGAGACCCTGGATGTCCTTGAAGAACTGGCAACAACAAAAAGGATTGTGGAAGAGCTAAAGCGACAGCTACAGAAAGAGGCATTGAAAAGCTTGACAGTCTCGCCGCAAGATTCCCATTTGGAAGAACACATGTTATCATCCCCTGCCATCAAAGAAATGAACAAGGAAATTTATACGACTGTGGGAAGCAACAATGAACAGGTGATGGGAAATTCGAGTCCCTACCCGAATTCTCCTGATCTGATCTTGATGGAGTTGAAACAAGCAAAATTGAACCTCGGTAAAACAATCAGTGATCTTGGGGTGATTCAATCTTCTGTCGAATGTTTGAATAAGAAGATGCGAAGCGAGAAAAGTGTTACTTGAAAAGACCCGGGAGAGGCTGACTTCGCAGTTTGCAGGGGTTTCGTCACTAGAGGAGGAGATGAAGAACATTAAAGTGAGGGCACAAATAGGCGATGATGCAGAAACAAATACTAAGAGTGGCTTTGGCAATTCAGCATTTGTTTCAAGGGAGCATATGCAGTTTAGTAAAATAGTGGAAGCTGTGAACTTTGAAGCATCTGGGGCAATGTCAAGGAATGAGCATTCCAAGAACATTATGGAGACTGCTGAAATGAGGTGGATTGCAGCTAAAAAGATGGAAGAAGCGGCAAAGGCAGCAGAGGCCGTTGCTCTTGCTGAAATCAAGGCTTTAACAAGTGGTGGGAGCTCGTCAGGGTACGTCCTTCCAGAGCCCTGAGCAAATGAATTTTAGTTCTCAGATGAAATCTCCTCTAAACTCGAAAGCTCAAGAAGCTGAGGGCTGGTTCAAGAAGAAGCTAGTGGATGCCATGCGCCAAATCGATGAAGCTCATACTTCTAAACTGGCTATATTGAGGAAGCTGAAAGAAGCAACGGAAGAAGTCAAACACAGCAAACAATTCTTGGAGGAGGCTCTGAACAAAGTAGAAATTGCGAATCGAAAGCAACTTGCTGCCGAAGAAGCTCTTGAGAGTTGGGGACCCGAGCACCATCAGAAGGGACAAGCAGCAGCCTACAACATTCACAACCTAAACAACTTCCGATCACCAGATTATAACCTGAACTCTCCGATGAATGAGATGAACAAGTCAGTCATAGTAAATGATGGCCCGAAGCCAGTTTTAAGGTCAACATGCTCGATGCGAGATGTACTTAGCAGGAAGCAAGTTCTCCCCGAAGATTTTGTGGCAACAAAGGAAGTGGATCGCAGCCAGACTGACACTCACAGAGTAGCTTTGAGTGAAATGCTTCATGCTCTGAGGGAGGATTTAACATTTCCTTCGAAAGTCGAGAAGGAAGGAAATGATCAGAAGCCGGTTTTAGCACATAGGAAGAAATTCGGGTTCATCCAGATTTCGCTTCCCTTGTCGAGGCCGAGTAAGAAAAAGATGCAAACTTCGAATGCAATGTGACACCATTAGATTGATTAACAGTTTCTATTCAGTTCTTTTGCTCTTTTGAGTTATGGTTTTGCTTATGTCTGTCTTGAAGGTGTTGTTTCATTGTTTGGCAGTCTGTATAGGTGATTTTATTAATATGTATTATGCAGTGAGTCTGGACATTTATTTTACTTTGTTTGATGGATTGGAGTGAAGTTTTTTGCTAAAATGCCTTCACCTTGTACAGGTAATTATATTTCTTAGGTTGTACTTAAATTCACATGGGTTTATATAGATACAGAAGACTTAGTGTTTTAGAATTCATACAACTGACCTTATTTAATGAGATAAAACTTGGTTGTTGTTGTTGTGTATTTATATAGATGATATGTTTACTTACGAGTATTGAGGACGGTAGGGAATCATAAAGCTTGTAGACAAAGAAAGTAACAAATGCGAATCAAATTAACTACTCCCACTACTTGATTCCACTTCTCAAAATTCAGAGTGTTTGATTACTAATTTTAAAGCGAGCCTCACATGTTGATTCTTTAAGTGTTTAGTAAATGCGGAAGAAGTTGGGAATTCGAATCATCTTTTTCGTAGTGTATCTAATTCTAAGTAAACATGCCAAGAAGTAATTTTGTCTATTCGAGTGCTATGCTTATTGTACATGCATTGATAGTCAAAGACGACACATTCACTATAAAAAGATATAATATGATGACTCATTCTTGACAAGTTTCTCATTTACTAGTGAAAAATGAGGTGTTATTATCACTTTGAACTTGATCTAAGTCCAAAATTTTCAGCACGTCAATAACATATATTCAAAAAAGTTTGTAAATTCTTTGATTTATATAAGGCATTGTGTTGTATGTGGTCTAATATCCTAGTAGATAAAGTGTTTGGTTTCCACTTATGCGCAGGGGCGAAGTCAGCATAGAATCATTGGTTGTTCATGACCCCAATAACTCCAAAAACCCTATGTATATTGTATTTGACCCTATAAACGGTTAGGGTAAACTAAATTACAACCTCCTCCTTCTCCTACTTCTTCTTCTATCTTTTTTATCACCCATGTCTTTCTTTTCTCTTTTCATGCATGCGACTCTACTGTGCGTCCCAAATGCTTAATGTGCTTTAGTGGACAAGTCCTGTCAATCTTCAACATTACTTTATCTTTCCATGTAGCCACCCTTGACAAACATCTACATAATAAGTCTTCAACATATATTGGCAAGAATCGACATTCTCCTATCAAATGCTCGACAAAATGGTCCAATGGAGTGTTTTTTGGGTCCAAATCATGATCCCATTATTTGATCTGCCACTGCTCATGCATGCTGAGTTCGAAACACTCATATTTCCTAAGTTATTCTAATAGTTTCGAACTCGCCTTGTCTCTTTAATAATAATAATAATAAAATTTTAAAAGGCATCGTGGCATTGTGCTTGCACACTAGTCACTAGTTGTCGTTAGAAATCATAGTGCTCAATGCCGCCCATTTCCACCTTGCGCGCATTCTAAGGGAAACGTACTTTTAGTAGAGTGAGGATCCTGAGAGTTTTAGGAATTTTTCATTTACATTCGTTCATCGTACATCTTACAGTTAGTTTTTATTATATATTGTTTATATTCAATTTTAAATAAAAAAATTTACAATAATTTCAGACCGTACAATGTATAATTAACTGATGCGATTGAAGAATCCCATCCCCACAAAAAGAATTCGAAGAGAATTCTCCCGGCTTTTTTGTATTTTGCCTCTCTTTTCAGGTAACTTTTCAATTTTACAGCAAGCCCGCCCGCCCAAAACCCGCGCGCAAGTTAGCAATGCACATAGAACTACACTAACGTACACTCTGCTTCCACCCTAGGGACCACACCACGTGGGGCATAGTGGGGAAAAACTGCAAGTGGGTTGGCCCACAAAATGCATACTTATTTACGTGCGCCATTAACCACCAGCGTATCTTATATTGCGCCGTCTTCTGGTCTTCCACTAATTCACGCGAGTTCTATAAAATGCAGAGTTGCAGGGTGGTCCTTCAATGGGGAATCCGAGAAGGATCCGGAAGAGGGTTCGAGCAATCCGTCGAGCTCCCGATGGAAGTGCCTTTTGGAAAATTAAATGGTGCGGCATAAAATGCATTATTTTTCTTTAATTTTATTTGGGTTTAATTACGTTTGATTTTCTTTTGTAATTTAATTTGGATAATATTTTGGGATTTTGATCATTTGTTTGCAGCAATTCCTGTGGGGCTTCGGTCCCCATTGCTTTGGCTGGGATGCACGAGCGCGAATTCAACGAGAACGTGAAGAGGTTCAGAGGCGTTAGCGTGGATGTTAAGAAACAGAGCATTTGGGACCAGCTTGTAATCATGGCCCCTTTCCATTTCTTGTAAGTTTTTTTCTTTTTCATTTTTTTTTTTTCAATTGATTTAGTTATTTTTAATTGCTTATTTAGAAAACACTCACGCTCATAATTGCTTTCGGTAGAAGTGTTTTTGTTAGAAGTATTGAAATTCTTAGTGCTTCTTGAAAGTGTTTCGTGCAAAAATATTTAGCACTTGCTTAATAGAAATCACTTCTATACGAGTCAGAAGCACTTTTAAGTATTTTTGTTGAACGCAATCAAGAGCACTTGTAATCCTTCTGTAAACAATCTCAAACAAAGCCGGACTTGTTTGGAAGTGATTTTAACTATAGTTAAACCAAAAAGACTTCTTACAACTCGTTTAGGAGAAAAGTTTAAAAAGCACACGTGTGGCATATGTACTTATAAGTTTTTTTCAAGAAGTACATGATAGGACTTTCAAGTGTCTTTTTAGGAATCACTTATATTTTTATTAAACGCTTATTTTGTGGGTTTATCAGGAAAGAGTTTACCAAGGCAAGCAAGGCTGGAAATTGGGTTGCCATTAATCGAGAAGGGTTTGAGGCATGGAAGAACGACAAGGCTTACTGGCTTACCAGAAAGCTTTGCTTGAAGAAGCAAATGATAAGTTTAAGGTAAATTCACTGACATGAAATTATCAACTGTTTATGTAGCATTCGCTCTTAGCATGATCACTTGGGGAGAAACTTACCTATAATGGGGTTGCCACTGTAGTTTATCTCATGCCAATAATGTATTTTTCGGCGAGGAAATGAAAATAATGACAGTACGTGATTGGTTTCAACTTTAATCATCATATATCTAGTTTTAATTGTTCATAATATGGTTTAGCCACAGTTTTCCGAAGACTACGAGAATTCTGATGGCTCTGATGTATTTTGGGATCACTCTGCTACAACTGGATCTTGGCACACCTACCATCGGTCTCTCTCTCTCTCTCTCTCTCTCTCTGCTTGTTCTTGTCCTATAGTTCTCTTTAACCCTAATGTTAGTAAAAAAGGGACGAGTGCCGGAGGAGAACATAGGAGTGCGAAAATCACTTTCGATTGCATCGCTCTTGTTTCTTATTCAACATTGTCCTGCTAATTCTCTAAACTTTGTTACCTCCTGAAACAGGCCAATGGTGCATGAGTTCACCTCATGGAACTGGAAAATGGTGCATGGTTTTTGAGGATTCGGAAGCTAAGAAATCGCCTTTTTTAGCTGATCGTTTATGGGGGTAACGGAAGCCCCTCCAATCGATCAAACAAAAAAAGTGATTCAGTCCGACTCAAGCGAGTGAGCGAAAGGCGGGGAAAGAGAGCGAGTTCGACTCGTCATTTCTGAGATTACTTTTTCCCATTACCTGTTTCTTCAAAGGCAAGTCATTTGGCTATTGTACAGTAAGTAACAAAAGGGTGGTTAATTTCCTATGTAGAGTTGAAGGTTTCACTTTTTGATGTGAAATACTTGAGACCCAGACGTTTTGTGTTCATAATATGGTCTCGAGAATGTTTTGCCTTGCACTTATGTAACAAGAAGTTTCAAATTTTACCGCATTTGGCTATAAATTTGTGATCTTATTTACGTTGTTCCTGATACGGATTTTTCATCTAATATGTTGTACTTTCTCTCTTTTTTTTTTCGCGTCTATGAGAAATATAGAAAAATTGATATGTTAGAGGCATGATTGACCAAGATTCAACCTACTCCCATTCCCAACAAGCCTTGTGCTATTTTCTTCAAGGCAATATGGTAATTTTATTTTGTAATGTTTTTATTAATCTTTTGAAAAGGGCAACGTGGTAAATTTAACCTCTCACTTTAAATCATGCATGTAAAATTCCATTTTAATTCAAATGTTTATATGTGACAAAGTTAAATTATTCTAAAATTTGTTTAGAATTGCTTTTAAAACGATTGAAAACGATTTTAGAGAAAAATGTTTTTGGGTCCAAAAGGTGTTATTTAGAAGAATAGTGCTTCTAGCAATTTTTAGCTATTTTTCTATGATTCACTTGGATTTTTACTAATAATTGATTTCAAAAATATTTTCAATAAAAACACTTTTAAATGACCTCTTAATCTATGAAATGAAGATGCGAAAGCAAGGGCGCTAGGGTTTTGGGACATTTCATCAAATTTTTGAACACGCTAGCAGCCTCAGTTACTGATTTTATATGTAAATGAGAGACTTTTCTTATAATTACAATCAAAACATAATTTTAGTAGCGTTACTTGTTTAATAGACACTATGGTGATTGATTGGCGCAGAGATAACATTTTACGTATATAAGGCATAGCAAAACTTCCTCTGTGAGAAGAAAAAAGGTTTGGGGAAATGAGGATGAAATTAAAAGGGAAGAAAACAAAAGAGAGAAAATTAGAGATATTCTCTTTTTTGTGCGAATTAAAATGACAAATATTTCATTGGAAAAATGTTGAAGTCGGCCCTGAGAAAAACAAGATAACTACACAAAATTAAAAATACGAAAAAAATACCGAAATAGTTATTAACATTCGAAAAATCTCATTTTACATTTCAAACTTTCTATAATTAGAAAGATTATAGAATGAGATTTTTAAAGTATTAATAACATTTTCAAAAAAATACCAAATAAACAATAAAAATTGTAAGTACAGCAAAAGCTTGTTCGAAGGGCTTTCTAGGCTCTCTATATTCGTCTCTGATGGACCGTGCCTGCAGCAGTTTCAGAAGCTCGTCTTTGCCCCTTCCATGGCGATCCCCGTCTCCTCACCCGCACTCCTCCTTCCCTTCCAAGTTCAAATTGTTGGTAAGCCTCTCTCTTTCTTTCGCAATTCTCGCTTTAATTTGTTGCTGATTGCTTCGATTTCACAGAGACTGAAGCGTTTGGGCGTGGCGAAGCATCAAGGGTGGTCAGGAGCTGTTGCGGATTCAACGAAAATGGCTCCGTAAATGGGTTTCCGGTCACACCCAACAAGCTTTTCATGCAGGAGGTAGTGATTTCTCATGCCCCTTTACATGTTTTCTTTATTTGTTGGGTTTCTGTGTTTTATATGGTTTATAAAGCTTGAAAATTTTCGATTTTCAATTTGCAGTTTTGCCTTAGTTTGCAACTTTTATGGTATTGGGAAACTAGAGCTTCTGGGTTTTGATTATTTTCCATTTTAACTAATTTTTGGGTGGTAATTTTGATGTATTTTTCCTTCGCTTTTTCGGTGTTTTCAGGCGATTGGAGCTGAATATGGAGAAGGTTTTGAAACTTTTAGACCTGATGGACCTCTCAAGGTTGATGTGGTAAGGAATTTATGGAGCTATGTGTATAGTGGACAAATTGTTATTTATATTCTGTCGAATTTAATCTTCCGGTTATACTTTCTGTTGCTATGACCTTACTACTGTTAATTTATACTCCGAGTAGGATTTTTTGAACGACAAACTGCAAGAAGGTTTCCTTAAACGAATACGATATGCCATGAAACCAGATGAAGCTTATGGTCTTATATTCTCTTTTGACAATGTCGTGGTAAGTTTCTATAACACCCATTAGTTATGTGTTTCAGGTTCTGATGGTTAGAAATAAAAATGTAATGAAGTGTGGAAAATTGTATTTATGACGTCTTACTTATCAAGAAACGATTTAAATGTGCAATTACTAAAAAGAGATCGGATTGCGTGAAATATGTGTTTCAGGCTGATACTCGAACTATGAAATTAAATGCTTGGAAGCAGCTTGCTTCTGAAGAGGGTACATACTACATATCCATTTATTCTCTTTAATAGCCCATTGCATGGCTTTCCGTTCATTCTCAAGATCAGATCATATGTTGAACTGGTATATGCTGATTTGTGTGCGTGTAGAACCTTTCTTTCATTGCCTAAAATTTTGATTCTTGGTCAGGAAAGGAACTTCCCGAAGATGCAGTTTTGCAAAGACGGATGCTTTATGCAGGTGCTGATCATGTGTTGCATAAGGTTTGGGATTAGTGTTCATTTCAGGAATTGTGTTTGATTGTGTTTTCTATTTCTACTCTAATAAAATTTGTGATCATTTTCTATAGTATGAACCATCAATTTTTGATACTTTTATTGAATATAGCTCACAAGTTTCCAAAACTTTCAGCTTTTACTGTGGGATAAAGAAGATGGAGAACTGGATAGATTGGCATTAAAGTTTTCGCAATTATACTATGATAATCTTCTCAGGGTGAGTGCTAAGCCACTTGTGATCTTTTTGAGGGATTTTGATGCAACGATCTTACTGGCCTTTTCTTCTTTTTCAGCTTAGTGAACCTGTGGAGGGGATCAAAGAGTGGCTAGATGCTGTATCCACAGCTCGTATCCCTTGTGCTGTAGTTTCAAGTCTTGATCGGAGAAACATGACAGAAGCCCTAGAACGAATGGGACTGAAGAAGTACTTTCAGGTTCATGTCCTAAATTGCATGAAAGTTTTCCCATGGAAGTTACCACTGAGTTGAATGCTTTCATAATCACGAACCATCACAACTTCCACTTTTGATTTCTTATTGAGACGTAAACTGTAAACCAAGAATCATTCATGTGTTTTTGTTGATTCGACTTATATGAACGATTTCATCTGTGTGCGGATACAGGCAATTGTGACAGAGGAAGATGGAATGGATTCAATAGCTCATAGGTTTCTTTCAGCAGCTGTGAAGGTATTGTGCAACTTGCTATTATTAATTTACAAATATGGATTACGAGTGTCACTCTTGAATTGGAAGGTTGGATCTTCACTTAAGGCAGGTTCCGCATGTCTGGAGTCAGTCTGTCAGTATATATATGTTCACGTGTTATAGCTTACCCAATTATTCGTGGTATCATTCTCTGACGAAAGTCATTCTACTTGCAGCTGGATCGGAAGCCATCCAAGTGTGTTGTGTTCGAGGATGAGCCTAGGGGTATAACTGCTGCTCACAACTGTACAATGATGGCTGTGGCATTGATTGGCGCGCACCCTGCGTATGTATTTTCATCCGCTTCACCCTTGATAGCGCTGTTTGTCTGTCTGATACAGAAGTTTTATTTATTATTAATACTTACAGAATAGACATTGGAAACGCATTTACTCATGTCCAAATATGCATACGTATACTCCTCCTTTATGAATGTTCAAAAGCGCAGCTCTGAACTGTACCGTGCTATCATGTATACTGTGACGATTGATTGAGATCGACGGTGGCACATGCAGGTATGACCTGGTGCAGGCTGATCTTGCAGTTGCTAGCTTTAATGAACTTTCCGTGATCAATCTTAGAAGACTATTTGCAAACAAGGGTTCCACATTCATGGACTTGCAAAAGCAGATTATAGAGAAATCTCCACCGAAGCGGAAGCTTACGATAGATACTATTTTCTGAATTCATTTTTTCCCTTTCTAATTCATCCTCTTTACCTCTCTCCATCCCCAATCTTACAGTCTAGCAGCTGATCATCTTCTCTTCGCTTTTTGTTCCTTGGTTTGTAATTGATCTCATAAATTTGTTTTTGTGTTCTTGATATACGAATGCGTTCTAGGATTCATATAGCTGACCCTGCTTAGTGGTAAAAGATTTTGTTGTTGTTGATATATGAACTTGTTATAGTGAAAAACATTCATTTCTTATGTGGTCAAAGGTCTTGAAAGAAATTATTATCAACGTCCAATTCTTCAAGTGGATGACTATTAGACTAATTGGCCAGAGCAGTGTGCCTGCAAGGGCTGCAACTTTTGATTTGTGACTGACTAATTGTCCCTCTTTTGTCACTGTTAGAAGTGATTTCAAGTTCGATTTTCTTCACGGTATAAAATGTTTTAAGTTTAATTTGCTCCTTACATGAATCATGTAACTGGCACGGTGACATATTCCCGGTCAATAACCCCTGTTCTTTAATTGGGAGCCTAGAAAAACGGCATGTCGCAATACCTTTAAACGACAATGGTCGGAACGTTTTCGATTTCGTTACCGTTGACCGTTGGTGACATGGCAAAAACCAACACCGGTGGGAAATATCCTCTTATCGTTATTGTCATCCACCTCTGACTAAAACAGGCTCACTCCCCCTTCGTCTCCGCCTTCGCTGACAGAGAGAAACACCAGAAAAAGCTTCCAGAGTTTCAGAGAGAGATGCGAAGAGATTCGGATTAGAGAGACTTCCAATCCAATTCCTCTACGCATCCAATCATGTCCTTGCATTCACAGCTACGGCTTCATAGCTTCCATCTCTCTTCCCACCTCCCCTTCCTTCACTCCAAGATCCAGATGCGCCCCCAAGCCTCGCTTCCGCTGCGCCGTCGGAGGTATTTCAGCTAAATGATGTCGTTTGAATGCTTAATTTGGAGCTTTCGACAATTGGGTTCTGTGGGATATGGTCTGAGTGATTGGTGTTGGGTGCTTTTAAATTTGGGGTCTGTATGTAGGATACGGTGCCGTTTCGATGCTTAATTTGAATTTGAAGCTTACCCTAAGTGGCTTCTTTGGGATTTGGTCTGATTGATGTTGGGTTTGCTCCAATTTGGGTTCTTTGTTTAATGCTTAATCGTGTACTGAATGCTTGCTAATCAAGTTTGATAATGCCCACGTCCTTAATTTGGAGCTACTCCAGCTGGGCTTTGTGGGATATGGTGTAAGTGATGTTGGGAGTGTTCCAATTTGGGTTCTTTACTTACCACATAGATTGTATGCTTATTGCTTAATGATTTGTTACGTTTGATAATGCTCAGTTGTCGCACTGTGTGGTTCATTTCAGGGAGTGTGGCAGAAGCCCAAGTTGCGTCCATTGCTGAGCCCCTTTTGCTCAATGCAGTTCGTGGGGACGATGTTGAGAGACCCCCAGTTTGGCTCATGAGGCAAGCAGGGAGGTACATGAAGGCAGGTTTATGCATATATCAGATTACTATCTAATTCTCTATTAATTAGTTCTAACTTTAGTGTAAATGCACCTACTAACTTATTTCAGCATTTTAACATGACAGAGTTATCAAACTCTCTGCGAGAGGTACCCTTCGTTTAGAGAAAGATCCGAAAATGTTGACCTTGTTGTTGAAATTTCGCTACAGCCCTGGAAGGTCTTCAAGCCTGATGGAGTAAGATGCCACTCTGGGATACAGTGTTGGTGGTTTTTCAGTTTAGCCACTTACCTGTTATAATCTTGTTACCCCTTCCGTTGGGTTGCTTGTTTATTTTTTCTCACAAGTCTCCCATGTGTTGTGACAGGTCATTTTGTTCTCGGATATTTTAACTCCTCTTTCTGGGATGAATATACCATTTGACATTGTAAAAGGTAAGGGTCCTGTAATATTTGATCCTCTGCAGACTGCCGATGATGTTGGTCAAGTAAGAGAATTTGTTCCACAAGAATCAGTTCCATATGTTGGGGAAGCGTTGACAATCTTGCGAAAAGAGGTCTAACATTTTCCCTACTTATTTCTGTTTCAACTTTGAATATCTTCCTTTCATCGTAACCTTGGAATAGTTACATGTATAATTCACTAAAAGTAGTACCTTGCCAGTTGCCACAATGGTGTCAATAATATTGCTATAAAAAAGGAAGCAAAAAGAGGAAAATATATCACATGGAATTTGGAAGCAAAGACCTGAATCTTTTACAAAAGTGTCAAGGGATCCATTTGAGTCCTTACAATATTATGTTAGACTGCAGGGACCTTGAATATATAACACTGCATACCATTGTTATGAATCTAAAAATGCTATAATGGTGTAATTTAATTTTGAAGCTTAGTAGAGTTTGATATTGGATGTGATTTGAATGGTTTCTCTGCTTCAGTCAGCATCATAACCTTTGGTATGCTCACTGATATCTTCACTTTTCCAGGTAGATAATAAGGCAGCAGTGCTAGGTTTTGTCGGGGCTCCTTTCACCCTAGCATCATATGTTGTGGAAGGTGGTTCATCAAAGCATTTCTCAAAGATAAAGAGACTAGCCTTCTCTCAACCGAAGGTAACTCTTGTGCTTGCTATATTTGGTGTACACAACTTTATGGGGTGTATAATCATAATGCAACATTAAAAATGTGTTTCAGGTGGTCTACTATGGTGATACAACATTGACTACTTACTGGGGCTAATAGTATCGAGGGTTGTCAATGGTTGCAGCATTTTCTGTTTGGATTGTTTTTTTTTGTGTGACTGGAGGTCTGAAATTAGATGAAAGTTGTTCCCCATTTTATTTTTTAATCTTGTTTTCTAACTTGTTATATCATGGTCCTTTAGCATCCATCTTTCCATTCATTTTTACGATAGTTCTACTTATGGTTTCACCTTGGCAATTGGTTAGTAGCTCCTAGGGTATTCCCACCTTCCTTTGAAACCCCTCTTGCAACGTATCATTAAAAAATTTGATGTTTTTGTGGCCTGTTACATTGTTAACAAAGGAGTGAATATCCTTCTTATCTTTCTTATTCCAACTTTGTTGACGTTTAGTTCTTTCTTCAGGTCCTCCATGCATTACTTCAAAAGTTCACAACTTCGATGACAAAATATATTCGATACCAAGCTGATAGTGGAGCTCAAGCCGTTCAGATCTTTGACTCATGGGCCACAGAACTCAGCCCTGTGGATTTTGAGGAATTCAGTCTGCCATACTTGAAGCAAATTGTGGATGCTGTGAAAGAGACCCATCCAGATCTCCCCTTAATCCTTTACGCAAGCGGATCTGGGGGCTTGCTCGAGAGGCTGGCTTTGACAGGTGTTGATGTAGTTAGCTTGGACTGGACTGTTGATATGGCGGAAGGTAGAAGGCGACTGGGACCAAATATAGCAGTTCAAGGTAATGTGGATCCTGGTGTTCTCTTCGGTTCAAAAGAATTCATCACCAGCAGAATAAACGATACGGTGAGGAAAGCCGGTAGAGGGAAACATATATTGAATCTTGGCCACGGCATTGTAGTAGGTACACCCGAGGAGAACGTTGCTCATTTCTTTGAGGTCGCTAAAGATATCAGATACTGAAAATACGTTTAGCTTGAATGAATTTTCTCTTGGTTGAGCTCTTTCCTTTGTAATTCTTTGTTCCGATTTTAGTTCGTGTTAATTCGTTGCTTAATTTATACTGATCTTTGTAATTTGTTGAGCCCTTGACAGGCAAAGAGAGAAATCCAATCTCGATATTAATCTTTGTATTTGAGTTGAGGCTCTGTTAGCATTGATTTGGTCTTAAATTATGGCTTTAAGTTGCTGATTAGTGCTGATGCTCTGTTAGCACCCACTTAACTTGTGTTTTCTTTATCAAAAACGTTTTCAGTCATTTTAAAAACACTTTCAAATAAGTAAGCTACTGAAACTAGCATATCAAAATTGTCAAAGATTTTTATACCATGGCCCCTAACCAGCATTCTACGACTCCTTATAATCCAAAAAATCGTGTGTAATAATACGTTTTATAATGATGATTAAAGCTATTCAATTGTTGATTAGCTTAATGTGTCAGCCTTGTAAAATATTATTTAGGAAATAAATAAATTGATCAAACAAATAATTCATAACCTAACTGGCTTCGAACAAAAAACTTGTAGCTCGAGTGGTTAAGAGCGTATCACATACACTCACCATTAACCCTAATTCATAATTTCATGTTAACTGAAGAGAAAATCCCAAATCACTAGTACAATTCAAGTGGTTAGAATGATGCAAACTTCGATTAAGGCAATATATTTACTAGTTAACTTATATTAATTTAAGATGGAATTGGTAGGTTTATGTAACATCCCGTCCCGAAAATATCGAAACGTGCGTGTGAAATGACACTTTTACCCCTAGTCCGTTTCTTTTACGTTTAATCGTTGTTGTGAGCCTTGTTGGCATGTTTGGAACCATACACACACTCCCACACACTCCACTTCTCTCTGTTCCTTTCCCTGTCTCTCTCCCGTGCTCCCTTTCCTTTCCCTTTCAAACACATACGTACGGACACACCAAGAACCCATCAAATCTTTGCAGATCGAGGGAACTAAACCCATATTCGAGCTCGTGAGGTTGAGAGGAGCACGATCGTACCATTTTCAGGTAAGAACTCCGACGTTTTCACGTCGATTTCACAAGGTCTGATTTGAGTACTATTCATGCAAAAATAATTTAGCACGTTTTTGGGATTTTGAAGCTCGTAGGTGACTTAGTGAGGTCCCAAGGAGTCTCGGAGTACTTCGTTTGAAGAATTTGGACGTCGGGATCGCCGTGTTCGAAGTTGGTCGGATTTTGGAGTTTGGTGACAGGTATGATCTAGTAGTTTTTAGCCCTTAAAAATTGTATGGACGTGTTCTACTAGTCTAGGGCTTCATTTTGGTGCAAGAATCGTGAAAAATGGTTGAAAAACGAGAGAGAAAACACGGTTTGCAGGTTTCGCGATTTTCCGGCGCCGGCGACGACGCCGGAGGTTAGCCGGGGAAGGAGACGGAATATTTCCGCAAATCTGGCGAAATATTCCTGACGCCGTTAACGGAATCCGTTAGAAATAACGGAATATTCCTTACGGCGTCAGTTGACACCGTCAGCGTGCCAGGCACGTGCCTGCGCGTGGCCGTGCCTTGGCCGGCGCGTGGGGGCGCGTGCGGCGGTGGAAAATTTTTCTAAAAATTTGGGTGTGATCCTGAGGTTGTGTAGAGCACGTTGGTATATTCATTTATCCAAATTGAGCAATGTATGAGAAGTTATTACGAGAAGTTGGTTATGTGCTTTAAAATTGACGTTTTTGTAGTTGTTTCGCATATAGGTGATACGTATCCCGAGGACGAGCGTGGTCACTCGAGGCAGGGGGGCTACGACCCTTCCACTTACCAGTGAGTGGGCTTTTGGTTTTTCGTATATACCTATATACTTATATTTTTCCCAGAAATTGATTTAAATGCTTATTAGCTATGCCATGCATTACATTATCGTTATTTATGCATCGTTGGTTACGTTAGTAGTTGCATATATATATATATATATATATATACATATGCATATTGGGTGTTGTGGACGCACAGGTAAGTGTCAGGTAAGTGTTATTCATGTTTACATTCAGTAGCGATTCGAGATACTTAGAGAGCTCATAACCTGCACCCCCGGTGTTAGTGCTCCCGCCCAGAGTAGGGCACAGTCCTTCACGTGATGTTCACCTCCCGCACCACACGCTCAGCTTGGATCCAAGTTAGGTGCACAGTCCTGTCGTACAGACCACTTTAGGTGGTTCCGACTCGTAGGTGACCCGCGATTATTCGCACAGCCTTCACGTGATCGTAGCACTAGAGCGTATATATGTATTACACCCAGGCCTGTCGTACAGACCACTTTAGGTGGTTCCGACTCGTGGGTAGGTTCAGTATTTGAGTTTGAGATTTGAGCTCTAGATGCAGCCGTACAGGTCACGTTAGGTGACACCGGCTGCCAGATTACATGTTCTTGATATGATTATACTTGAGCACTTGCACATCATTATGAGATTTCGGCATGGCATATTATTGAGCATGATTGGCATATATACTACGTATATTTATTTTCTGGGAAGTATACAGGTTTTACGGCGAGGGGTTAAAATGTATTTGATTAAATGGTTTTCTAAAAAGCTTTGTTTTTGCCCACTCACGCTTTTGTTTTGCGCCCCTCCAGGTTCTAGTGGTCTAGCAGGTTCGGTGGTTTCCCAGAGGGCTTTTCCGGCATTTCTGACAGACACTCACCATTGTAGGGTCACCTTCGGGTGTACTGTTGTCGCATCTTTTTCTTTTGGACTGCTGTAGACTGATTGCTCTGAACTTAGCGTCTTACTTACGCTAGCACTGGTTGTCATCACTTGTATGCTAGTTTTTAATTATTCGTACTTTTTATTTCTATTTTATTTAGCTTCCGCACTGTGCACATGGCTACGTCACTTCCACGTGACGGCCAGCACGCCCTGATCTCGGTCGGGGTGTGTCATTTAGGTATTGGGAGATTTAACGAAAAGCTCACAGTACTGTTCATTTTAACGAAAAACCACATTTTAATACTAAAAAGTCAATCCTGGTATTATTCACTTTACCCTTTATTTTATCCTTGTCATTAAAACTCAAAGTTTTCAAACCATTTTCATTAGTTTTCCTTTAGGTATTTCTTAATCTCACTATAGACTTATAATAAATGTGAGTTTTAAAGTTTGTTTCGAATCAAAATTATTACTTTCTAGTATCAATACCTTGTGCTAACTTTATTTCAAAAGACAGTCTTAAGGAGGGCCTCTTTAAAAATTTGGCATAAGGCCTTCGAACTCTCAGGAACAGCCCTGAATTTATTCTTGTAATTATTTATTGTTACATCTAGGCTCAATTGGTTTTGTAAGCTTGAAGTTAAATGTGATCTGCATATTGTTATGAGTGTGGTTTTCCAATCTTTTGTTCCCTTACATCAATGCCCACGTTTCGTTGGGCTTAGCCTTTATGGGCTCATACCAAAAACCGGATTATCGGATTCATGATGTTATTATAAGCAATGTTTAAAATATCAAGTATAGATGAAAATATTGATATTCAAATTTATGGAAATATAGATGGATATATCGAAAATCAATATCGATATAAGTTGCTTTTGATAGAAATGATGAAAATTTAAAATGAAACTGTAGGGATTTTCAAATATTGGTTTGGATGAAATATAAGAGTTTCTCTGATATTTGTGTCAAAAATATCGACGATATCTATCGATTTTAGTCTAAACTTAAGAGTTTCTTCGATATGAGATGATGTTTAGACTTCACGCCCGCCCCCCCCCCCCCCCCACAAAACAAAATTCCATATTTTTCTCTGATTTTTTGAATATTTTCATGGAAACATCGTCCGCATCGAAAATATTTTACACACTGTTTATAAGTAGCCATTTTAGTAAGGGTAGATCTTTGAACCGGAAAAAAGATGAAACACGGCCGAACCGAACCAGAAAAAAAAAATCTGAAAAATTGATTTCACATGATCTCAGCTCGGTTCTTAGTTTTACCATGTAAAAACCAAACTAGACCTAATTTTTCTTCCAAATCTAATACCAAAACCCTTGCCTCCTTCACCTCAGTCTAACTCCCTCACTTCCCTCATCTGAATCAGTCTCCTCCATGTCTACCACCGTCTCGCCACATCATTTATCATCGTTTTGTTGTTTCTCTTCGAGTTCGTTGATAGATAATAGATTTACGTAGAGGAGTTGAATGTTTAGGATTCATAAGAGATGATGAGGCAAGCCCAACAAATAAATTCGTTCAAACTAAATAGAGCTTGTCAAACCGAATCGAAATCGAACCATACCCGTTATGTTGTTCATTTTAATTTTATATCAAGGTGAAGTATACTTAAACACACCATCCATGATACACACCACTACATTTTACGCATCCTTCTTGTATTAGTGCATGCATGCATTTCAATGAGACAGTTTATTACGCAAACCCTAATAGTAAGCATTAGGTATAGATACGAGTTGGATGACCTTCGCACATGCACCAATTAAGACAGAGTACATCTAATGCGCACGGTTAGGGTCTGATAAGATAAATTTCACTCCAATGCGTCATTTGCAGTGTTTAAAATATCAATATAAGTGAAAATTTGATATGCAAATTTATGAAAATACCGATAGACAGTGGACGATGCTAGGATTTGCCAAGGGGAGGGGTGAAATTCAAAAGAGTGCAAGGTTCAATCGAATGTGTCACTTGCAGTGTTTAAAATATCGATATAGGTGAAAATTCGATATACAAATTTATGGAAATACTGATAGACAGTGGCGACGCTAGGATTTGCCAAGGGGAGGGGCGAAATTCAAAAGAATGCAAGGTTCAATCGAAGCGGTTGCTTTCACATTGGAGAGTGCAACGTTTTGAGTCAATATTCATAATAGAAAATAGTCTCCCCACTAAAGCGGTTGTAAGCAATAATATCCAAGACAATGTAAGCAGAAAGTACAACAAATTTAGTTTCCAAAAAAATAACACACAAAAAAAAAAGGAAAAAAAAATAGTTGTCAAACAATTTTTTGTTTTTAATATAATAACAGCTACGTTTATAATTAATACGAGTTTCTTTGGTTTTAGGATAAAATAAAATTATCATGGTACTAGTTTTATATATAATAGACATGTGGGTGTAGAAGTGAAAAAGGAAAACAAACATCCCAATTTGA